TCTCTCTCTCTCTCTCTCTCTCTCTCTCTCTCTCTCTCTCTCTCTCTCTCTCTGTGTGTGTGTGTGTGTGTGTGTGTGTGTGTGTGTCTGTGTGTCTGTGTATCCGCCTTTCCGCCTGTCTGCCTCTCTCTCTCTCTCTCTCTCTCTCTCTCTCTCTCTCTCTCTCTCTCTCTGTCTGCCTGTATTTGTTTGCTTTTTTCCCTGGTGGGGTAGACAGCTACACCAATTGAATGAAATAAGGAGTTGAAAGAAGTGGACAACCTCCGACGCTGCTCTTTGTTTTTTTTTTTTGAGTGTGTGTGTAAGTGTGGGGTTGGGGGTCGCCCGGGTGGGTATTCTACATACAGGGCTGGAGTAGGTAGCTCCTTATGTACTATAGTACTATGTAGACTACCCAGCCCCACCTCCTCGATTCAAAAATAATATAAAAAAAAAGGTACCCACCGGTGCCATTTGATGGGTAGTGGTTCATTGCGACCAAATGACCTCGACCAGACTCGACCCCAACTGATAGACCGCGAGGGCGAGAGAGGGTGAGGTGACTATACGAGGTTAAAAACTGCTGCATGGATGGGTTCGACTAGTGGGTAGCCTTTCTTTTAGTTATTTTTTTCGAATTGAGGGGGTGGGGGTGGGGGTGGGTAGTCTACATAGTACATAAAAGACTACCTACTCCAGCCCTGTATGCCGAAGTCGCCGGTTCGAATCTGTGCTTGCACGGAGGAGGACTTAGGCCCAGATGTACTGCATCCATACTACTGTGGAAGCGCCCGTGAACCGACGGGCATTGATAAGTCTCCCGTCTGTGTGAGCGGGTGAGAGTACCAGCGGGGGTTACGTGCTGACTACAGAGCGAAGTGTACGAGAATTGCCGTGTCCGTGGGCGTTGTTTGTGGTGTTGTGTTGAGCTGGACACTACAGCCTTGCAGGGGTGGGATGGATATCACGACCCGTACCATTCCACTTTCGAACACGTGTCCTGGCTGTAGTGGTTAAGAGACTTGGCTCTTGAGGATGAAATCGCCGGTTTGAATCTGTGCTTGCACGGAGGAGGACTTAGGCCCAGATGTATCCATACTACTACTATTGTATGTAGAATACCCACCCCGACCCCCACCCCGCCCCCTTTTATGTATGTAGACTACCCTGTGAATCACCAAATGACTGCAGCGGCGCAGCAGCCCCCCCCGGATGGGCTCGAAGTTGCCATAAAAACTTTTTTCGTGGAACTACACGAATTTGAAAACTGCTGGAAATTTTGAAAATATAGAAATATAAAACCCTGCCGTAACAAATAAAAATCCCCTTCTTAGCTATTTGGACTTGCTGTCCTTCGGGGCATCCGTTAAAATTGGAACGATACAGAGAAGGAAGATTATCATGGCCTCTGCGCAATCAGGGGAGGGATGACACTCATAAATCGAGAAATGGTCCAATTTTTTGAAAAAAAAAAAAAAAGTGCTATTCGGACTTGTACACTGCATGAGCTGCGCGATATGTGGAGACAGGTTTCCTTTGGAAAGGACTGTTTTTTAAAAGAAAAAAAAAAACACATTAAAAATTCGGAAATAAAAAGGGCAAGAGCACGCACAAACCCACATACTCACACACACAGGGACTGTTGTCACTGTTGTGGTGCAAATCTTACACACACACACACACACACACACACACACACACACACACACACACAGAGAGAGAGAGAGAGAGAGAGAAGCATGCATGAAGACGGAGAGGTAGAGGCACTCAAACGTGGGTTACGTGGGACAAAAGGAGGGTTCTGGAAATGGTGGCCAATGCAGACCCCGTCGGCGTGGTAAACGTCCCATTTGCACGAATTAAGAGTCTCTAAGAGACATCTATCGCAGATCAGGACGATAAACAGTCTTTTTTTTTTCTTTTTTTTCCCCTATATCTCTTGATTGGTGCACGTTGGACAGTAGGGACCGGTTGGACTGGCCCTCGGACAGTAGGGACCGTGGACGAATAACTCTGTTGTGCTACCGGTAGGCACAGTCCGGCGACCTCTTGCGACTTGCTAGTATTTCAAACCAGTTCAAGCCACCAGAGCAGCCGTAGTGCCACTGCCCTCTTCCCCGGAATACAACGCACGGTCATTATAGCTGTATTTGATGCAAGTTTGAGTCTAGATGCAGCAATAAAAATAATGACCGTACGTTGTATTCGGGTGAAGACAGTAGTGTGGTGCCGTCTTCCCCCGAATACAACGCACCGTCATTATAGCTGTATTTGATGCAACTTTGAGTCTAGATGCAACAATAAAAATAATGACCGTACATTCTATTTGGGTGAAGACAGTAGTGTGGAGCCTGTGGAGACAGCACAATGAGTAGGTGACGTACTGTGGAATCACGTGTAGGGTAATCACCAGTCGGGGCTTTCACGTTACGGCGCTACCCCTGAGGATGGCCGGTATACTGGTCGACCGGCCGAAACACGTGTATAGGGTAATCACCAGTCGGGGCTTTCACGTTACGGCGCTCAGCGCCATTTTATCACTTGTCCGCTTTGGTTGAAAAATTTTCGAGCTGACGCGCTCGGGGGACTACTCTACTCTTCTTTCTTTCTTTCTTTCTTCCCACCTTTCTCTTTCTTCCTCTCGTCATTTTCTGGGCCTGAATGTGCTCTCACATGGCTTGCTTTGTTGCATGAGTTTATCTCCACTGTACTGTGGAACCTGCGGAGACAGCGCAATGAGGGGGTCAGACAGACTCAGACTTAAAGAGCCAGTGTGAGTCTGACCCCCTCAGAGACAGTGTGAGTCTGACCCCATCAATGTGTGGAAGCCTCAATGAGTCAATGTTGAATGTACTCCCTCTTCGTTTCTCTTTTCTTGGTGAAACAACGAAGGCAAAAATAGAAACGGGGCAGGTTTTGACTCTTGAGTTCGTAAAGGCAAAAATAGCATGCGCAGGGACTCGGGAGTATAGTCCCCATCTACCGGGACGAGCCGTCGTACGTGACACTGGAGGGGGTGCCGGGGGAATGAGCGGCTGGGGGGAGGGTGGGTGTTGGAAGCGACGTGAAGGTACACACCGCCATCCGGAAAAAAAAAAAAAAGGGTTGGGGCATTTAAAAAAAAAAAGAAAAGATGCTTGATTGACTAGTTGAGGGATTGATCGGATGTATTTTGGGTTGAGACGTCATTTCAAACCAAAGCACTTCCTCCCCCGCGCTCCCCTTCGCTTTCCATGCAGGCGCTTTGCCATCTCCGTCGTTGTATGTCTCTTCTCTCTCTCTCTCTCTCTCTCTCTCTCTCTCTCTCTCTCTCTCTCTCTCTCTCTCTCTCTCTCTCTCTCTCT